ATTGTGAATTAAAATCCACTGCAAATTTCAGATTGTGAATTAAAATCCAGTTTCCATTCCAAGTTAGTTTTTCTGATTTCCAGAGATAGGCATAGTGCCTGGTAGATGTTTTCAGTAGAGTCTTGAATCTAGAGCAACATGCCATTATTTCAGAATGTTCTGCAGGTGCAAACTCAACAAACAGCCTGAGCTGGATGTTGGGCTCAGACCTCACTAAGTTAAGGCTCATTATTTGTCTGGAGAGAAGCAACCCTCTTTTGTGATTTTCAACTCAACCCTGGATTATTTACAAACATCTCAAGCAAACACGGTGAATACAGTAACTATAGTAACTCCGAAAAGGAAAGCAGTGAACCGAAACTTGAACTCTAGCAGAGAAGAAGCTACCACTCTTTGAGCTGAGGGTTGAGAACTTCTAAGAAGATGTGCGGGAGGCCTGAAATTTGCTTCTCATTAACAAGTAAACAACAACAACAACAACAACAAAAATAGATAAATCAGAGAACAAACAAAAAAACCTTCAAAAGCCAAAACAGACGTTGGAAGAAACAAGTTATCCCAATAGAGAAGGTCTCTAAAGCAGATGGTATTTCCCCATGTTTGATTTTTTGGGTAAGGGAAGGACACGCATGGATTTAATTTTTGCTTGTTCACTGCAGAAGATGGTTTATGTATAAATAACCTATAGTCTTTTAACTCAATTTACTTCCCATTGACAAGTAAGACCAAGAAAATCTGGGTAGAGATTTAAAACACAAAACAAAACCAAACAAAACACCTCTCATTAAAAACATTCCGACTTAACTGCTGTGGGAGTTTTCAAGATCCATTCATTCATGCCTCAACAAATAACTTTTCTGCTAAACTCCTTTTCTACATATTTTCTGGATCTGTAAGGCATTCAGGTCATTGCATCCTTTTAAGCAAATCTTACATAAAATATTATGGGGCTGCAATGTTAATTTTTTAGTTTTGATATATACACCAGGGGTATGTAAAATGTTACCATCAGAAACACTAGGTAAAGGGTATAGAGGAATAATCTGTATCATTACTGCAATTCTTCTTTTAATCTAAAATTATTTTAAAATAAGAATTTTAAAATAAAAAATAATTTAAAAATTATTTTAAAATAAAAATAAAAGGTAAAATAATGGGAGCCTAAATAAAGTTTGGAGGCAAAAGGGACCTGACTTTGTACAGACATCAGTGTTCCCGGATTAGCGCAAGGCTACGTAGTCTGTTTGCTGTAGGTATCTGCCCCAGCTCTGTCCTCCTTCACCTCTGTTGTGCTGCTCCCAACGAGGGAACCACTTCTGCTTCACCTACACAGTGCTACCTGCTGGCATAAACCCAGGGATCTCCCTCAGATTGTTCTACTTTCCTAAGACTAGAAGACACACCAGCACAAACGAGCTGGATCACGACAACTGATCCAACCATAAAGCCAGAGGCCAGAAAACGTTCATTACCTATTTATCAATATCCAAGGTCAGTACCATTCAATAGCACAGAGTAAAATGGGGCACCATTTGCTGACAAATGTGAAACATCCACAGATGCACTGGTCTGGGCTAATGTATGTACTACATTGGATTACCTTTCAGTTGGTCACACATTCTTCCACAAGAGTGCCATTAAAATAAAATAAAAAAATCATAAGGATGAAGGGGCTAATTATCACATTCTAGATCCTGACTCACTTCAGGCTATCAACCCTCAACACAATTTGAATAGGGACAAAGAATTGCCCCCAGTTGTAGAATTACATATTAAAGTGTTTTTATGTTTCCTGTAAGAACATTTTATTTCTAGTCTCTATAGAATATGTCTACAACTTTAGAATAAACAATGGAAATGCAGCAACTACCAGAAGTCCTTAATTATTGCACTTAGGAGATCCACTTGTAATTTTGGAGATTCACTTGTTTCTAAGGCAAGTTTCCAGGGTTTTCCATAGGGTCTACAGATGACTGTCAGTACAGCTATTACGCTATATGAGCAATCATCTGTTCTCAGTTTTTCACAATAGGGATCTCTAAAATGGGCTGATGCTTGGAGAGTTGTCTTTTTGTTTGTTTGACGTGGGTTGGGTTTGTTTTTATCCAAACAAAATTTAGTTTTCTGTTTAAAGCAAAGTTAGCCTAAATTCTTGATGCTTAAATTTTCCTTGCCTTCCATGGTAGGCAACGGTAAGCACTCCGTGGTAATGCAGAGCTTATTCCCGGGGGGTGGGAACTGTATTATATTTAGAGGTCAGTTTCTTTAATTTTTTATTTAATATTTTTTTTTCATTTTTTTTAATTTTCAGCATAACAGTATTTTTTTTGCACCACACCCAGTGCTCCATGCAATCCGTGCCCTCTCTAATACCCACCACCTGCTTCCCCCAACCTCCCACCCCCCGCCGCTTCAAACCCCTCAGATTGTTTTCAGAGTCCATAGTCTCCCATGGTTCACCTCCCCTTCCAATTTCCCCCAACTCCCTTCTCCTCTCTAACTCCCCTTGTCCTCCATGTTATTTGTTATGCTCCGCAAATAAGTGAAACCATATGATAATTGACTCTCTCTGCTTGACTTATTTCACTCAGCATAATCTCTTCCAGTCCTGTCCATGTTGCTACAAAAGTTGGGTATTCATCCTTTCTGATGGAGGCATAATACTCCATAGTGTATATGGACCACATCTTCCTTATCCATTTGTCCGTTGAAGGGCATCTTGGTTCTTTCCACAGTTTGGCGACCGTGGCCATTTATTATTTTTTTAAATTTATTTTTAAAATATTTTAGATATTTGAAAGAGAGAGACAGAGAGAGTGCAGGGGGAGGAGCAGTGGGAGGGGAAAAGCAGACTCCCTGCTGAGCATGGAGCCAGACATGAGGCTTGAACTCACAACTCTGTGATGGGGACCTGAATCCAAATCAAGCGTCTGATGCTTAACCGACTGAGCCACCCAAGCACCCCTAGGTCAGCTTCTTTTAGACAGCATTTTTCTTTGGACTGATCAATACTAATTACTAACTATTTGTGTTAAAAAGAACCCTGCTCCTAAGGAGGTCTGTGAAAAGGAAGGGAACCAGCCCACATATTAGCTTGTTTCAAAAGGGCTCTCACATCACAGACACAAGGATTCACTGCATTCTTAGAGAATGAGATTGCTCTCTGAGTCCTAAAATACAGGTTTCCTTGGGTAGATTTGCTGAAAAGATTCCCCCTTTAGTACCCAATACCACAGGAACTGGCTAACGGAGAGTCAAGGTAACTCCTGGCAGGCAGCAGCTCTGAGATGGAAGTAACGATGCTAGGGAAAACTAAAGCCTCGCAATGTGGGCGTATAATGTGAAAAATACAGCCTACTGTATATGGGATTTTGATAAGAGAATGTTCTCTTTCTCCACCAATTATCCTCTTCCTCTGGCCCAATGTATTTCCCTATATTTGTAAAGCTTCACAGGCTTTGCAAGAATGCTAGGGGCTTCATCACGAGGTGATAGATTCCCCACTTACGGAGAATGTGCTTCTGTTTAGGGAAACACAAACTCCAATATGGCTGTTGCTGGTTTAGTAAACCACAGATCACAGGGTTGTGTCGCAGAAGAGTAGACACGGCTCATATAATCCAAACACATTTGCTAATGTTTGATGTCTACCATTAAATATGCAATGTTATTTATGATGATTTATGATGGGTTTTATTTAAAAGAACTACAAGAAATTAAGAAAGCCAGTATTCACTGAATTCTTCATGACTGTAAATGAGGCAGGGAAATTGAAGGGACTCTGCTTCAGAATGGGTCCATCTCTGCTGTTTTTCTGCCAGGCCCTGTTTCTGAATAAGCCAAAGAAGAAATGTTCTCCCTTCAAGGGGGAAGCCAGAAAGTTCATCATTCTCTGAGTTTTGTCCTAGATCCCTAACATCTAAGAAAAGCCGGATCCCAAACATGTCCCAGGACATGAGCTTCCAACAAACCTTGGCCAACGACGGCATCAATACTCCCTACCTTCAGTGATTTGTGGAATGACACCTGTTGTTCACCTGGATGCTTGCCTTTGATCAAACCCTACTCTGAAGCCTGTAACCCCAAGTGACATTGGGACTCCTTCTCCTTTCCTTTCTGAGTCTCCGAGACACTCCACTCCGTCAGTTACTTTCTGTCAATCATGCTATTCAATAAATTCTGCTTTCACTCTCTCAGCTCTCACTTGATTTCAATCTTGCACAAAGCCAAGGACCCTCTTAGCTGGTCTTGCGGGTGCCCCCTCTGGCTCCCAGCCTGCCCGCATCATAAGTATAAAGCAAAAAATATAGCTATATTTGTATCAATGTACCATTTTTTTATGTGTTTCCTTTTTTGAGCCAGGGATGGTCCTTTAGTGGCTGGAATGGTTTTGGGGTCATATCTTTATCTCTGTTTGTCTGTATGTATCTATTGTTCTTTTTTGTTTTCTTTAGTTGTTGGTGCTAAGTACACAGCATCTCAGCGCCTTTTTCTGCTAAAGGCAGCACAATTGTGGACATTTGAAGATTAACACCAGTACATGAAAAATTCACAGAAAGTAGTTCTAGTACCATAACAGTCCAAGTGGCAGAGAGCTTGTTACACATAAACAAAATTCCGTACAGTGTTTAGAGTTCAGTTTTTTTTTTTAGGTACGACTTTTCTTTGGGCTGATCAGCACCAACTACTGACTAGTTGTGTAACTGGTTAGGTTCTGGGTACCACAAAACACAGTAGGAAACAAACACCGTGAATAAATCAATCCCCAATCTCATAATTACAAGGCTGGCGACATCCTCCTCAAAACCCTCAATCTTAAGTTTTCCAAGAGAATTTTCTCTTGGAGGTAGCTTATCTTTACATCCTTTCTAATCTCTCCCAAATCAGTATATTCATGTTATTACGCTGTTACATTCCAAATGCTCAAAATGGACCATCAGCCAGTTGCCTAGACAAAGGAAATAGCCACTAATCAATGCAAACCATAGTCAGAAGTTTACCTTAGTTCCTTGAAGGGGTCTGCCCTGACATTAGGTGTCTCTATAGATTTAGGGAACACTGTGCCCTCGGCTCCTGTAAACAAAAGAAAAAAGCAAACAGAGGTTGGAGACTTTGGACATGTCACCTGGGGGCACAATCAGCACAGGGAATGGAGCTAAGTGGAGGGTGGATCCTTCACACAACTCAAAGCACACATTTTGCCCTTGGCTTTCGCTCCCCTGATAGGGCAGCACTGAATCAACTCCTGCAAACAGGCTTTGAAAAAACAAGGAACTTCTTTTGAAAGTGTTCTTGCTGAGATCAGAGTGAGGCCAGGAGGCAAATACCATGATGACTTAAACAAACAAACAAAAAAAGATGCCTAAATAATGGCACCACCTAACTCTTGTCTCTCATTGACTATTAACAGTCCTCCAACTGGAAACGTTTTGAAAAGCAGCCCCTGAAGCCCCCTGATTGCAGTGCAGGGCACGAATCACAGACCACATCTAGCATCTCGGCAGTGGGGAGATGGTGGAGAATACCCTAACACTGTGGCGGTCTCCACCTAATGATGCCAAGGAAACAAGTGTCAGGAAACTAGGAAACGGAGATAAAGTTCTGTGCTATTACCTTGAAAAGTTAAACAAAACAGAACACTATGAGAGACCGTTGGACGTTCACTGCTTTTTACACTTTGAGAATTATTCCACAGTGATCCCTGACCCATTCTAGACATTTAGCTCTTGACTTTGCAAAAAGCTTTTATCTTTAGAGCTTGTCATCACCAGCTGAAACTTCTCAGCCATAAAGATGGTGGTTATCTGATTTGTCTGCTCCCAGACTGCTTTCAAATCATTTAAGCCTCAGTTTATCACAGACAATTGCAGTGGATATTAGTTTTTCAATTAAACTTAGCCAGGCAGTGTCCTGCTCTTTGAAGGAAAGGTGTTTATTTTTATACCTTTTTTGGTGCAGTTCTTTGATGCCACAGAAAGGGGCAGAACAACATCTTGTATTTGTGTGAGAATTTCTAGAATCTTCTTGCATTGTTAGGTCTAGAAATCCTCCATTAACCACAGTTATTCCAAACCCAGATTTATCCTAGCACACTGATGAGTCTGGCTGAATGAACTCGTGTAGCAATTATAAAAGTATTTCATCTTTTTTTTTTAAAGTATTTAATCTCTTTGATATGAGTAACAGACTACTGCAAATAAAATCAGAAAATAATGCCTTAACTTGACATTATGTATGGTCATTTAAAAGAATATCCTGGCGAATGATAACTATTAATCGAAGCTAACATTTTGAGTGATACCATCACATACTTCGTATGTAGTAGCTCAGTTCTCCCCTGCAACAACCTTACAGACAGTTGCGGTAGGCCGAGAGGCATTTCGTGTGTGAACATTTAAGATCTTGTCCTGCCTGTAGACACTTTCACTTTTGAAGACCCCAAACCACATCATGTCAAATAGATCAAAATGTATCCCTAGTCTCCATTATACACAGCTTTGATGTAAATTTTCATAAGAATGTTGTTTTATGAGGCATATATTATTTTCCTCTTGCGATTTAAAGTTTATTGTGTTCTTTATAAATGTAGTGGCTAATTTGATGTGTCAACTTGAGTTGGATCATGAGGTACCCAGATATCCGGCTAACCATGATCCTGGGTGTGTCTGTGAGGGTGTTTCCAGATGAGAGGGGCATGTGATACAATGGATGCAGCAGAGCCCTTGGCCCTCCCCAATGCAGGTGGGTAGCCGCCAATCCCACTGAGGGCCTCAACAGAACAAAAAGGGGAGGAAGGAAGAATTAGGGCCTTCCTGCTTAACTGATTGAGCTGGGATGTCAATCTTCTCCTGCCCTCACCACCCCTTGTTCTCAAGCCCGGAGACCCCAAATAGAATCTACACCACTGACTCCACTGGTTCTTAGTAGCCTTGGGACTCACTTCGAATTATGCCACCAGCCTACCCTGAGTCTCCGTCTTACGCTTAGCAGGTCGCGAGGTTTCTTAGCTTCTATAATGACATGAGCCAAGTTCTTATAACGGATCTCCTCCTACATGTACATCCATATTGGTTCTGGTTTTCTGAAGAACCCTACCTAATATAAAAACTGAGTAAGACTGGGGTGGATTATAGACTATAATGTAACTTTTGTTACCCATATACAAAATCTGGTTTTGCAGAACATGCATTCCATGTCTCCAACATTTTTGTGACCCTTTGAGGAGCACCGGAACCAAAGGTTCTGTGGAGGATGCCTTGTGAGTCAAAAAGGCTGGCAGAAGTGACAGGACCACGAGTAACACATTGGGAGGTGGCTCTAAAGTGTCTGTGACCCAAGGGCACGGCCTCAGCCACCACCTCTCAGTACCACCTCAAACCTGTTACTAAACAGCTCCCATCTGTCACTACTGCAGTCAACGGGAGCTTCTTCTGAGATCCCTTCCCTTTCTATTTCTTAGAATTGCTTATTCTTAGCCTTTGGAACCTGTTTTTTGGGTTTGAGGGCTTTTGTTTTGTTTTCATTTTTCTTTTTGTTTATTTGTTTTAATGATTAAAAGAAACACTTATACACCTGATTAAGGCTAGGGCAGTTATTTCTGTTCATATACATTGTATACACTTTTTAGCCCCAGCTCATATCTCCCCCTCCTCTACTAAGAGTTCTATGAAAAGTGCAAGAGAAACAGCATTTCTCTTTTGAAATCAGTCTTAACTGTGTGACTTACCCATATGGCAAGTAGTACTGCTCATAGACACCCTTCAGTATTTGAACTGATATTAAAATGTTGTGAAGCTTTATGTTTCACTGATATCTCATGCACCCTCCTATCATTTTATAAGGCCTCTGAAGCCAAAGAATACCTATTTCCCAACTTTCGACTATGCAAATATGTACACATATAACAATATATATTGCATTTATTCAGTCCAATTATCCAAAAATGAGGAATGACATTTTCTTATGTAAAATGGACTTCAAAGGCCTGTACCATTTTCTTTATTCTACCCACATTTGGTGCTAAGCCTCACTTGCTACATAACATCTGGCCACACTTGCTACTTAACATCTGGCCACACTAGCTCAAGAAGGAACTACTCTGTTGCAGCTAGCTCGGCCGCCCTTTTAGAACAGTTTGGAGGATAAAAAAAGGTTACATAAATGCAACACTCTACAGGTGCTCTTTACAGGTGTGTTTGCCCAAGGATCATGTTCTCCTCTGAACACCTGAACTTGGGTCCTCAGCTTTCTCAGATGGACAATCCTATTTGCCTGGTGTCTTGGAGGAGTGTGTCTTGTTCTCTGTCCTATCTCCATTGCCTAGCACAGCACAGGTTCTCAACAAATATCTGTAACACAGCTACAACACCTATGTGGCACTGAGCACATAGTACCTGGGATTTTTATTACCTTACAGAAATTCGTCTCATCTCCTCAATAAGATCTTAAGCTCTGTGTGAACAGGGGCAAGGCCATATACAAAATAAAGACAGATTCAATTTTAAGTTCTAAAGACTTCTACTAGACTTATTTCTAGTTGGTACTACCAATTCTATGGGAGTACTAATTTACTGTTATAAAACTCCTCGTGTATCACACGACAGGTTTAATGAATGTCCAAAATCCAACCTATATTAACGGTACCTCTTAAAATAAAAGAGCTATTTAATAAAAGAATATCATTTGGGCTAAATACAAGTATCTCTTTAAAGCAAAATGAGATCAAGGCTTGTAGTATCTTTGCTGGACCAGGAAAACTACCCCTCCTACAACACAAGTGGGGCTAAAAAACATGGGGCTTTTGGTCACATGGCTAGTGAGTGCTGGAGCTGAGATTCACATGCAGGCATCTGACTCTAGGACCCACTTGTAGCCATCATGCCCTCGTGCCTTGTTTTCTGAATGTCTGGACAGTGTGGTATCCACAAAATGGCAAGCCAGACCCAAATCCCAAGGATCTGGGCTCTCACAGAGGACATAGGTAATCGACAGGCTCTGGACATGTGATGAAAGTGAAGGGCAAGCCAGTCAGGCTCCCTTACCTCCCACCATCCACCCAATGCCCTCTGAATTTGTGAATTTTTGTGACAGGGGCCACATGTGTCACCCATACTGGAAAACAGGCTCAGAGATATGACTTCTCAGGGGAATGTGCTACAATTTCTCATAATCTGAGTGTCCTTGGGCATGAAACCCAATCTCTAAGATGCTCAGATTCCTTCTCTGAGAAGAAGGGATATTAATAGTAACTTTATCTCCTCGGGGTCTTTGGAGAGTGAATGAGATCTCTGGCACATAGCAATCAGCAGATGATAGTCAATAAAATACTTCTAGCATACTAAAATATTTATGAATCCTATTCTTTCCTCCTCTTACCCAGGTCTTTTATGACTCTTAAAAAATAACATTTTAGGGACGCCTGGGTGGCTCAGTTGGTTGGGCGGCTGCCTTCGGCTCGGGTCATGGTCCCGGCGTCCTGGGATCGAGTCCCGCATCGGGCTCCTTGCTTGGCGCGGAGCCTGCTTCTCCCTCTGCCTCTGCCTGCCACTCTGCCTGTGCTCGTGCTCTCTCTCTCTAACAAATAAATAAATAAAATCTTAAAAAAAAAAAAACATTTTAAAAGCACTTACTATGAACTAGAAACTATTGAAACTGTTTTAATTTGATCATCAGAATAACCCTATGAGGTGGGGACAATGTGTCTCTGTTGTTATGGATGTGGAATCTAAGACTCAGGGAAGTCAGGAAATTTTCTGATGGTTGAGCAGTGAAGAGGGAGAGTCCAAATTTGGACTCTCTTTGTTATAGAACCAATGCCTGTGACCACTACTCAGACCATCTTTTTCAGCAAGATCATATCACTCTCTACTTGCTCATCTTTTTATGAGATACAAACAAATATCAATGTTTATACCCTCAAATAACACTTGCCAAATCTCCCATCGCCTCTCTTCTACAAACAATCCACATGTGCAATGAGAGGGGCTATTAATACTTTCACAAAGACCATTTCTGTCCAAGTCCTATCAGGCTTCTGATTTTCACACCATTTTTCACTTTCCCCAAAGCTGCAG